GTAGGGTCTCTTAGCTGCATTGAAGCCAAACCATATTTTTCAAGTTGTCTTTTTTTTAATGTAAAGGAAAGCTAAAACGAATACAGACTGCCACTCCTGGGCCACGCAGTGCCCAGGCTATCTTCTAACACTAAATGTCTACACCCAGCAGGTGGAACATCAAACCAAATAGTATCCCAATCTGTACAAATCCTATATGCAGCCATCCAGTCAGCCACTTGGTTCCCTTATCTGTGAATGTGACAGAGTTCCACGCACCACTCTTTAGCCACCAACAGTCTAGCCCTATTTACAAGCAAAGAACACGGGTGAGAGCTCACACACCCCTCCTTCACAAGTTGTAAAGCTACCAAAGAATCACATTCTATAATAACTTGTCTCTTCCCATCACCCCAGGCCCACTCTAGACCTATGATAATGCCCCAAATTTCAGTCATTAACACTGAACCATATTTTAACTTCTTGCAAAAACCCTTAATCCATTCCCCCAAATCATTTCTTACAACCCCTCCACAGGCTGACCATAAACCATTCCCCCCAAAAGCCCCATATGTGTTAATCTTAGTCCACCCACTTGGAGGAGGGGACCAACTAACCAGTATCTCAGCAGAGTTCCCCAATGCCAATCCAGCACCAGCCAGTGTCTCATTTGCCACTTTAATATTAGCAGAATATTGAGAAGCCTGAGCAAAGATCTCCTGCGGGCTAGAAGATTTGCCAGTGAAGACCAAGCTGTTCCTATCCTTCCACATAAGCCAGCACACCACTCCAAACTTCAACCTCCAATCTAAATACTTTTTACTTCTGTTGAGATTAGCTTTCAACCAGTTCTCCATATCCTTATTAAAAAAGGACACTAACTCCCTGCTGTCCACCCAAAGGCTCCACACCTCTCTCGCCCAACTACAGCTTCTAAAAATATGATCATTATCCTCATTCAGCTTCTGACATCTAGGACATGCACTACTCCCTGCCATATGTCTGCGCACCCTTTCAGCATTATTAAGCAGTTTATCACCTACTAAGAGCCAAAGGAATAATTTAATTCTTTGAGGACCTTCCCATCTCCACACAAGGTTCCAATCCTTAGTACCCGCAACTCCACCTTGATCTGCAATACAATTATAAGCTGAGCAAACAGAGAACTCACCAGAAGAAGAAAGGCTCCAAAGAACCTTATCTTCATCATCAGCACTGTTAGGGGGACATATATTCTCAAGCATTTCCAGGGCATCTCTAGGAAAAATGCAATTAATCTTGTTCCAGTCCCAATGACCATCCACCACACAATCCACAACCCTCCAATGAATCAAATCTGCAGGAATATCAGACACTCCTAGATCACTGAGCCTAGCCCCATTAGGCAGCCATCTATCAAACCAAAAGGATGTGCTGAGACCATTTCCAATCAGAGATCTCGAGTACTTTAAGACAGACTCCCAGACTCTATGAATCCCCTTCCAGACATTGGATCCTAATCTATTGTCACTCAGCTGACCAAAATTGGAATTCTCCAATTTATATTTACTTCGGATAACCCTCACCCAAAGATCCTCCTTTCTAGATAATAGACCGAAGCCTAATTTCATGAAAAAAGCCTTGTTAATCAGTTTTTGATCCCTGAAACCCAAGCCACCATCTCTCTTAGCACGACACATTCTCTTCCAGCTAACCAGATGAGTCTTCCTTTGGGTAGAGGAAGAACCCCAAATGAAACTCCTAGTAGCTTTTTCCACTTCATTACACACCCCAAATGGAATGACAGCAGCTTGCATGGAGTATGCAGGCAGAGCTTCTAGCAATGATTTGGCTAAAGTAGCCCTCCCAGCTAAGGACAAAGATTTCTGATTCCAAGAAGAGAGTCTACCTTGAACCCTATCCAACACATGTCTGAAAGAGTTCTTGGTGACCCTTTTATGCTGGAGAGGGATCCCCAGATATTTACCAAGGTCATGAGTGATCCCAATGCCAAGAGAACTACTAATCTCCCTAGCCTTCCCCAAACTGACATTCTTAGAGAAATACACCCTGGTTTTATCAGTGCTCACCTTTTGCCCAGATGCTCCAGCAAAAACTCTTAAGACTTGATTAATCACGTGTGCCTGCTCTAAACTGGCTTCAGCACAGAGAAGAATGTCATCAGCAAATAGGAGATGAGAAATAGGAGGAGCATTCTTCCTTAACAGGATAGGCTTCCAGGCTTTTATCCCTACAACCATTTGAATAAGCTAGGCCAATCTCTCAATACATAAAAAAAACAAGTAAGGGGAGATTGGATCCCCTTGCCTGATGCCTCTACCTGGAAATATGCTCTCAGTAGCCACACCATTCCGAAGAAGTTGCATAGAAGCCGTGGAAATACAATTAAAAATAAGTTGGGAAAGAGAATCTGGAATCCCAACATCCTTCAAAGTGTCAAGCACAAAACTCCAGTCCAGCCTGTCATAAGCCTTCTCTAAGTCAACTTTAACCATCATCCAGCCTATGTTTCCTTTTCTAGCCCGCATGGAATGAATAACCTCCTGAGCTATGATAATGTTATCAACCCCTTGTCTACCCTTAATAAAACTGCTTTGGTTGGGAGAGACAATTCTAGGCATCAAATCCCTTAATCTTTCCGCAATAAGTTTGGTAATGATCTTATAAGTGACATTACACAAACTGATTGGTCTAAAATCTTTCATGTTATCAGGACTCTCCTTTTTAGGAATCAGGCAAATTAGGGTACCATTAATATCCCTAACCATTTCTGGATTGCAGAAGGTGTCATCAACCAGCTTGCAAACAGAGTCCCCCACTATATGCCACTGACTTTGAAAAAATATGGCACTAAGACCATCCGGACCTGGAGCTTTAAACTTACCCATTCTGAAAATAATCTTCTTAATTTCCTCTTTAGAAGGTCTGATAGCAAGAGGAACACAATCTTGGGCTGAGAGCTTGGGAAAAGCATTCCGTATGGGGAACTCCTCAACTCCCTCAGAATCAGCCTTAAACAATTCTTGGAAAAAAGATACAGCCATATTCACCAGAATTTTATTATCAGCTATCCAGACACCCTGGTCATTCTTCAAGGTTACTATCCTATTATGTCTTCTTCTGGCTATCGTAGAGGAGTGAAAGAACTTGGAGTTCTTGTCACCATATTTAAGCCACTGTGCCCGAGACCTTTGAAACCATATTAGCTCCTCTTTCACTAGAATTTTCTGCAGCTCCTTCCATAGACTCCTCTGTAATAACTCAGAATTGTGGTCATACCTCCCCCACTTATAACTATCCAGCCCATTTAGCCTAGAGAATATTATGTTCTTCTGTCTGATATTCTCCTTGAAAACATTGTGATGCCAGCTCATGGCATTAGATTCAAATAACTCCCTGGCTAGCAGCCAGTTATCATTCTCAACCCAACTAGCTTTGACCACCTCGCTGAAACTCTCCTCAGCTAGCCAAGCAGCCAGGAACTTAAAGCTTCCAGTATTCACCCCCGGACTGGACTGGGCATCATTGACCAACAGAATTGGTCTATGATCTGAGTTGAAAAAAGGAAGATGGGTAATGAAGCGACTAGGCCAAGCAATATTCCAATCCTCACTAGAACAAGCCCTGTCCAGCCTCTCATGAAGCCTCACCCTCTTCCAGGTAAAATCAGGCCCTTTATACCCCATATCATACATGTTGCAGGAAGTCAAGCAACTGCATATCCGAAATACTATTCCAGCAAACCTCCTTTCCCCCTTTCTTCTCAGAAGCTAACAAAACAGAGTTAAAATCCCTCATTATTAACCAAGGAGCATCAACCGAAAGGCTAATTGTCTCAAGCTCATCCCAGAGACTTTTCCTTTCAATTCTCCTAGGACTGGCATAGACAAAAGTGAGGAGATCCACCTTCTTGGAATCCAAATACTGGACACGGGTATGAACAAATTGGTGGTGGGCATTCAGCACCTCCAACTGCACCAAACTGTCATCCCAAAGAATCCACAAACCCCCAGAGAATCCAATAGGATCTTGTCAGAAATTCTTAGAGAAGCCTAGGTGTTTAATAATGTCATCACCTCTGGGACCCCCAATCTTGACCTCAAAAAGAGCCATAATGCTCACTCTAAATCTGAATTTTAAATCCCTAATTAGGGAAGGAAAGCTACTCTTTCCCACCCCTCTGCAGTTCCAAGAAAAAACTGACATGATAAAATAACAAAACTGTACAGAGACGGCCTAGCAGACCAAAAGAAAACTCACCTAATGGGGGGAAGCCCACCCATCGGATCAGAAACAGTATCCACTGCCAACTCATTCTACAAGGAGCTACACTCATTCACAGGTGTGTTCACTACTTCCACTGGATCTTTTCTGGACTTAAAGCTAAGATGGCCACCATCTTTACAAAGGACCTCCGGAGATGAACCACCTCTAGATTTGAATTTAATAGAGCCTTTGCCATAGGAACCCAGACCTGAATTAGGAGACAAGTTCTCCATACCAGACATCTTCAATGCAGCCTTGCTTCTAGACTTGGTCTTTTCCCTTCCTTCCTTGATACTGCCCCTCCTAGCACCACTATCAGGAACTTTCACCTTCTTTTGAGGGTTGGGCACACCCACCACTTTCTCCTTACCCACTGGACCAGCAACCTTAGCAGAACTCTCAAGGCTACTAGTGCTCCCAAACTCATTTTTAACCAAAATACGAGGAGGCTGCTCCTCCATAGGTTGAGCTTCCTGAACTTTGGCTAAAGTTGCCTCAGGTTGACCAGGAAAATCCTCCTTAGCCAACGAGTTGGATACCTGATCACCCTCCCTCTCTTTCTGCTGGCTAGTTGGTTTAGCCATTAATTTCCTATTACGAGGATTCCGTTGGACCACCATCCAACTACCAAAGGCTTCCTCAAGCTTGACCCCATTAGATTCCCTGTCCTTTGGAATAGTGTTAATCTCCATCCCCTGAATCTTGCCTGCCTCCTCACTCCTAGCACCAGAAGCTTGACCAGTAATACATTGGTTCTATCTATGACCATACAACCCACAGTTGAAGCAGATTAAGTGCAAACCCTCATAACCAACTGGATACACTTTTTCACCAATCATGAACTTAGAGAGAAAACTCTTCCGCAAGTCGACTTCCACACAAATCCAAGTAAAGCGCGCTCTATCTGTGATCACAGCATCCCCAATTTCACTCTTCCTCAAAGAGTTTCTGTCCACCTTCAGGGTACGCCTAAAGAAATTCCCAATCCTCCAAAGATGTCGAGCCGTATACAACTCAATCGGCAACCCAGGAATCCGAAGCCAGACCGCTAGCTTCTTGAAGCTTTCGTCATAGGGATCGAATAAAGGCATCCATCTCTGAACGACCACATAGTGATCATTGACTAGCCACGGACCATCCTCTAAGACATGACGATAGTCACTGTCCTCTAGGAACCTCAACAGCAAGTAACCATTGTCTAAATCAATGACCTCATACGTTCCTAACAGATTCCACTGTCTAACTAATCTGGCCATAAGGAATCTTACCCCCATACGCTTCCCAAGAAGCTTGATGATAAGTGCCTTCCGCCATTGCTCACAGTCCCTCTTATGCTCTTCCAAGGAGAAAGTGTACCTGGGGAAAAGGGGATCATCAGGCCCTTTCTTGGAAATCCCCTCCAGCAGATCTGCTTCCTCATCCTCTCTCTTTTGCTTCGAGATCCAGTTCTCCTCCTCATCATCTGAGAGGCCTCGGTTTCCATTCAACTTCAACAGCTTATCCTTGTAGGATATGACCCTCCTACGAGAACCCTCGCCGGTACCAAACCTACTCCCGCCCAGATCCACATCGGGGGGGTAACCGGATCTGCCCCCGCACCACCTTCCTCAAGCATCTCATCATCCATGGCCGCGTCCTCCAGCCCAACGCCTTTGGCCTTCTTACCGCCTCTAGCCAGACCTTCCTGCTCCGAGAGAAGACAACCTCTCGAAGCCCTTGAATCGTCATCGTCCGTCGGTGATTTCTGATCGTCAGTACCAATTTCCATCGAAAACGATTTTCGCAAAGAACCCTAGCAGAAAGAAACTAAACGCGCGCGTGAGATCCACATTTTTTTCCTAAGTATTTTCACTGTTTTGTTTGTCCATATTTTTCAAGTTGTCTTTAATCTTTAATTACATTGCATTTTTTTGTTGGCAAGTGAATTATTTGGCAACTTTTGCTTGCATAAATTTGTAAAAGTGTAAACCAAAAGAAAAGAAAATTAAAATGCTTACATGGACTATTGTTTGTTGAAATACTACTTAAAGCACAATTTGTTTAACTGGAACCAAAAATAAAAATGTTTTGAATGCGAGTCTTTAACAAATAGGATTACCAGGATATCATTACATCAATAATTACATATAACCTTTATGTTAAGATAATTGTATATGTAAATTAACATTTTTTACCAATAAAATTAGCAATACATTTATAGATTAGTTTGAAATTGTTTTTAAAGAAAGGGCACTATTTCATAGGAAAAGATAATCACTACCAGTGCTGTGGTATATTTAAGCTTGGACTTTGATATCTTTAGATATTGATAAGCGTATGTTGCCATTATTTCTATTGTATTCAGTGTCAGATAGATAAGGATATTGATAGATAGTTGTTACATTTTGTTCATAAATTGAAGTTTTGAGAACATTTACAGACATAGGTCTATGAGAAAAAGCTTCTTGATCTGAGAACAAACAAGCTTCGTATACGTGATGGATGAATATGTTGAGCTACAAGCTTATTTTTGGAGAAGGAACAGTTTGGTTGTAAATAGCCTTGGTCAACCTTGACCACATGTCCTGTAATGTTGCCATTTATAAAGCTACCCTGGTTCCATTGGGGACTAAGTTTTGTGTATTTTCACCTTTCATTTAGTCTTTCACTTCTTTGCATTAAACTTGTTGTCGAGAATATTGAAGTAAGGCAGTTGGCAGAAACATACTCTTGCATGGATGCTCTGTAGATCAGTAGCAGAACCTGTATTAGATCTTCGTTTGCCCTTTGACTTCAGAGCTGTAGAATCCTCGGGGCTCAACCTTGAACACCCTCCTCCATTCAACAAAGTGTGAAGCATTGTGGTCATCATCCTTTGAGCAGCAACTTTTCCAGCTCTGCCCCTAAAGATTAGGACTTCTATCCTCTTCAGTGCTGCTTACAAAAGGCTTTTTTATTTCTTCGTAAGCCAAGGCATTTCTCTTGTTCTTTCGGATCTATAAGTCTGAAGACCATATGTCACAGCAGCATCCATTTCATTTTTTTTTTTTTTAATTTAAAAAGGGAAATGCTAGAAATAAGATATTTCTCTAATTAAAACATTAATCAAACATGAAATTCGAAGAAATGAAATAAATGAAGAAGTCAGAAGTAGTTCATGATAATCAGCTCTACAATATACTACAAATGGCAAAGTGAGGACCCTATGTAATGTTAATAAGACCCACCTGCAATGCCCAGTAAGTTCCACCCATTAAAGCCAAAAAGCTAATAAATAAACAGAAGACATTACAATTGAAATCTGATGCCTGTAATCCCAAGCAGAACCTGGCAAAGCCCTTATAAAACCCCATTTAGCTCAAAATATCATACTTGTCCATGGAAGTTGACAACCTTAAACATTTCAGAGAACATGGGAAACATGAGTACATTCACTGAGAAGCTTGAAAAGATGCTTATTCAAGCTCTAAATGAGCATTTAGAAGGTATTGAAGGAAAATCATATTCTAAATTCAGTCTGCATCCCCTACTGACCTCTCTCTAATGCCTACACAACACTAGCTTCAGCATATAAAGTTCGTGCTATTGATTTCTTGTCTGTTGATTCTGAAATAGATCTAAACAAGTTAGAAGCTTTTGACATGAGCAGGACCAGTGCTGCATATTCTTTGTTACTTGCAGGCACAACTCATAATCTCTTCAACTCCGAATCCTCATTGATTGCTTCTGTTGCAAATTTTTGAACAGGTGCTGGCGAATCTTTGTTATCTCTTACCAGAAGTTCAGGGTGGAGTTTGTTTGTTATATTGGGTCTGGTTGTTTCAAACCTAGCTTCTGTAACGAAGTTCAAGTGCTCTAAGTGTTCATTAGTGGATGGATTTAGAGCCTGGATATCAAATGGTCAAATTATAAGTGCAGATTTTTAGAATGTATCAAATGATTTTCTTCATTTTGTCTCATATATTACATATATTACATAGAAAGTTTGGAGTTTCCTTGTCCATGATTGCTATTTTTTGAGATCATGTTAAGATCCTATCTATTTCGGCTGGTTAATGTCTACCAAAAATTCCAGTACAGTGGATGTTGGGGCTCATGGTAACAAAACTGAAATGTGTTACACTAGTGAGTCTGGTTTTTTGAAAAGTCTAAAATTTGTACGATGATTATTGTGCAAATAACATATCTTTTGTATGTATTGGCAAGTGGCGTTGAGAGCCTTGCCCATAAATAGGCTCATGAATTACAAATTACAAATCAATTTGTCTTGGCGACAACCTATAACAAACTCATAAAACTGCAGCTTCTAACAAAATCCAATAAGCTCCTATTACATTAAATTCTAAATCAAAATGCAATCAAAAAATCTTATCTACTCTAAATTACATTAAATTTTAAATCAAAACGCATCAACAAATCATATCTGCTCTAAATTACATTAAATTCTAAATTCAAAATGGACATAAAATATGTAAGGATAACTACCTCCAATACTTCCCCTCATGTTGGAGCATGTAAGGTTCAAATGCCTAGCTTAGGATGAAAGCTACGGAAAGTCGAGTGTCTAAGAGCCTTTGTGAACAAATCTGCCAGCTAAGACTGAGAACGAACATGAGTTGTAGCAATATGACCCGAGGAAATATGATCCCGAACAAAATGACAATCAAGCTAAATGTGTTTAGTTCGCTCGTGAAACACTGGATTAGCAACAATGTGAAGTGCTACTTGATTATCACATAGGAGATCATAGGACTAGAATGATTAACTCCAAGGCTCGAGAGAAATCCTTTAAGCCAAATCAACTCTGAAGTAACCTCAGCTATGGCCTTGTATTTGGCCTCTACTGAAGAACGAGTTACAGTGACTTGTTTTTTTGTTCTCCAAGACACGAAATAGTAACCAAGCATGACAAGATAACTTATAAAAGAAAGTCGTGTAAGGGCAAAAAATGCCCAGTATGTATCACAATCACTAATAGAAAGCAGGAAAACACCCTGCCCTAGACTCCTCTTTTTGTAACGCAGAACACGAGTATCCGCATGAAAATGTACCTCACGTGGCGTCGGCAAGAACTGTGATAAAATATGAACCACATAGCTCAAATAAGGCCTGATGATGGTAAAATATATAAGTTTACCAGTAAGCCATCAATAACGTTCTGATTGGTCGAACAATGGTCGATAATCAAGAGCTAACCTATGATTTTGTTCCATGGGAATAACTGCTGGTTTATTTCTGCTCAAGCTTGCCTCGGCGAGAATGTTTAATGCGTACTTTTGTTGACACAAGAAGATACCCTCTTGACTCTGGGCAGCCTCTATTCCTAGAAAATACTTGAGTGGCCTAAGATCCTTAATCTTGAAGCAAGTGTTAAGTAATTTTTGTCTTGTATACAATCTACGGTATTGTTCCTAGCTAAGATTATGTCATCCACATATACCAAATGAGATAAGAATAAATCACCACGAAAAAAAGAAAATAATGTAAAATTAGCCTTAGATTGTTCAAATCCATATTCTAGGAAGGAAGAACGGATCTTAGAAAACCAATTGCATGGGGATTGCTGAAAACCATATAACGACTTCTAAAGTTGGCATACCTGATGAGAAGAACCAGTGGATAGTCGAAAACCTGGAGGAAAACACATATAACTTCTTCCTCCAAATCTCCATTTAAAAATGAATTACGTACATCTAAATGATGCACCTCCCATTCCCATAAGAATGATGTATAATATTGCTTAATTTCCTAAAATTTCTTCCTCCTCCTTCTTCAAAAAAATATACCTTTAATAAAAAAATAAGATAAAAACAAACCCAAGCCAAGTAAAGCATGTTTTCAATTGATCAGTGAAAAGTTGAAATAAAAAACAAACTCATGCCAAAGCTGTAAACTTTTTTTTTGGAGGTTACAAGGAACTGAACACAACACCTTACACTACACAAACTCCTAACACACACCCCATGCCACTAGGCTAACCCTAGTGGTTCCAAAGCTGTAAACTTCAAACTCATCAAAATATCTTAGTATAGTAGAAATGGGAGAAAATCCAAAATAAAAAATATATATTATATGATACTAATTTCAACAGAGGGATAAAAATCAAATCTGCAGGAATTCAAACACCTCAATTTTCTAAGATTGCGTGTCCTCAATCAAGTGTTTCAAAGCTTTAAAATAATAAGGTAAAAAATAGAAAGAAATAAAACTTTGAGAAGCACAACCAGCTATGATTATAATGTGAATCAAGGCCATTCTTCAAGAAAAAAAATGTATTGGTAGCATGAAATTGAAATGGGGTTTTGGTATCACCTTTTTTAAAGTTGGCACTAGTTTTCGTCTTCCATTCTCTTGGTAGCTACCATGTCCTCAATCAAGTGTTTCAAAGCTCTAAAATAAAAGAAAAGGGAAAAAAATGAAACTTTGAGAAGCACGATCTGCTATGGGTATGATGTGAATCAAGAACCCCCCTCCCCCCAAAAAAAGTGTAATAGTAGCATTAAATTGAAATGGGGTTTCATCATCACCATTTCAAGCTAGTTTTTATTCTTCTATTTTTGTATTTTCTTTGCTTACGCCTATGTATGCCTTTTCTTGGCGAATCTGAATCAAATGCTTGCATTCTCTTTGCATCTGTGCCTATTTTATCTTGTCCATCAACTCATTTTCAACTCTCACAGTTTTCATCTCAAGAAGCGTACCCCCAAAACAAAGAGGTCAAACTTAGGTCTCTGAACTTCTCGATCACATTAAAATCCTTAATCATTAAGCTGGATAGACTAACAGACT